GGAAAGTGGGTACCAGTTAATGCTATAGTAACATCGTCATCACAGGCAACCTGGAGACAAACAACTCCATTTTGACAAGAAAAGCATATCCATAAATAAAACTATTGTTCTCTTAATTTCATCATTGTTTTAAAAAAGTTAAAATTAGCAGATAATTTTCGTTGTATAATTGGGATTAGCGTATAATTTGTTATTTATAAGTTATTATTTTGTAATTAACAATATAAATTACTTATTACAACGTCATATATTTTTCAAATGAGTTCCATACCTTAGAAGAAGGGGAAAGAGAACACTTTTTGTTTTGTTAAACGTTTTAAATTCAATCGGTTGTTTCACTCTATTATATATTATTTTGCATTAAATGATTTAAACATTTTAAAATCATTTAGTCATACATTTTATTCTAATTATATTCCATAAATATTGGTCATAATTTAAAACAATTTAAATTATATTCGAAACACAATAGAACAAGTAAACATTTGCAAAAATATAAGTAAATTGTAGCCGCTTTAAAATACTATAACACAATTTATCATTATAAACAAGTTGATAAAAATAGATAAACAATTAATACCTAATCCTTTTGGACGCGGACAATATAAACGTGAAAATACGGCTCCCATGGCTTATTTATTTTGTATTAAATACTGTAAACTGAAATTGTTTCAACAAAATTTCTTTAAAAAAAAGACGGCTGCAATCTTTCAATTCCAACAAAACACTACCAGGTCTCTATAGCCACTTGTAAACGAGCAATAATCAAATTTTGTATTTGTTAAATTTAAATAAAAAAATAAAATAAAAACAACAACATGATGATTTCATCTATCACATTTATTTTGTTTTAACAAATTCACACAATATTAATTTGCACGACTAGTAGAGTATGTAGAAGAGTAGTGAGTAAATTGTGTCGTTAAAGTATTGTAATTCTAAAGAGATTTGAATTTAAACTACGTAGTTTCTGCTAACTCTTCTTTTAAACTGATATATTACCCCATAGAGAGTAAAAACTACATAGAAAGAGAGTGTTATAGAGTTTAAATAATATTTTTGCAATAAAGTCAAAAATTTTTTTTGTTTTACCTTCAGCTGTCAAATTATTAATTTGTTTAATATACAAGTAGTATTTAATAGAACTTAAACAGATAAGAAAACTTAAAATAAAACTACAAATAATTCGCATGCTTAGATGAAAAGAAGAAAAAAAAAGCATGTGTTTGATAATGTGAACGTACAACCGATTAAGCGGGTACTTAAAGAAAAAAACCTTTACCATTCAAAAAGGTTTTGCTCTGCCCGAGCACACGTTTTCTCTTGGGATTTAAGTATTAAATACTTTTTTTCAAAGTCATGCTTGCTTGAAAAAACCAGTTTAATTGATATGTGAATCATGACTTTTTTTGCTATAATATATAGAAATTTTAGCAAATGTTTAGAACAAAAAATTATAGAAACAAGTTGATCAAGTTGTAGTACAATTTATTGAATATTATTTATTCAATGGGGTTTCCATTTATTAAATGTTAAATTACATTTTAAGTAATCAAAATCTTGTTGATTTATTTTTTTAAAATTCGAAATAATTTTAAAATCAATTAAATGCAAAATATTTTAAATTCTCAAATGGGGAAATGTAATAGCGGAAATCACGGTTTTGTTATGTTTACATTATCTACAAGATATCACTATGTATTTGTTTTTGTGCACTTGCAATTTCATTTATGCAAGATTTTCACAAGTTAGTAAGTCTCAAAAAGCAAATTCTTCCCATATGAATTGTCTTCCTTCAAGAATATTGTGAATACAAGGACTACAGACAAGACTAAGATAACACTAGAGTCAAGACTATATACACGACTATAGTCAAGACTATAGACAAGACTATAGTTAATACTATAGGCAAGTCTATACAGTCCATAGTCCTGTCTATAGTCTAATCAATACTATAACGACTATAGTCAAGACAATACTATAGTCAACACTATAGATTAGACTATAGACAAGACTATAGTTAAATCAATAGACAAAATTATAATCAAGTCCTGACTATAGACTAGACTATAGACTAGACTATAGACTAGACTATAGACTAGACTATAGACTAGACTATAGACTAGACTATAGACTAGACTATAGACTAGACTATAGACTAGACTATAGACTAGACTATAGACTAGACTATAGACTAGACTATAGACTAGACTATAGACTAGACTATAGACTAGACTATAGACTAGACTATAGACTAGACTATAGACTAGACTATAGACTAGACTATAGACTATAGACTAGACTATAGACTAGACTATAGACTAGACTATAGACTAGACTATAGACTAGACTATAGACTAGACTATAGACTAGACTATAGACTAGACTATAGACTAGACTATAGACTAGACTATAGAGACTATAGACTAGACTATAGACTAGACTATAGACTAGACTATAGACTAGACTATAGACTAGACTATAGACTAGACTATAGACTAGACTATAGACTAGACTATAGACTAGACTATAGACTAGACTATAGACTAGACTATAGACTAGACTATAGACTAGACTATAGACTAGACTATAGACTAGACTATAGACTAGACTATAGACTAGACTATAGACTAGACTATAGACTAGACTATAGACTAGACGATAGACTAGACGATAGACTAGACTATAGACTAGACTATAGACTAGACTATAGACTAGACTATAGACTAGACTATAGACTAGACTATAGACTAGACTATAGACTAGACTATAGACTAGACTATAGACTAGACTAGACTAGACTATAGACTAGACTATAGACTAGACCATAGACTAGACTATAGACTAGACTATAGACTAGACTATAGACTAGACTATAGACTAGACTATAGACTAGACTATAGACTAGACTATAGACTAGACTATAGACTAGACTATAGACTAGACTATAGACTAGACTATAGACTAGACTATAGACTAGACTATAGACTAGACTATAGACTAGACTATAGACTAGACTATAGACTAGACTATAGACTAGACTATAGACTAGACTATAGACTAGACTATAGACTACACTATAGACTACACTATAGACTAGACTATAGACTAGACTATAGACTAGACTATAGACTAGACTAAAGACTACACTATAGACTAGACTAAAGACTAGACTATAGACTAGACTATAGACTAGACTATAGACTAGACTATAGACTAGACTATAGACTATAGACTAGACTATAGACTAGACTATAGACTAGACTATAGACTAGACTATAGACTAGACTATAGACTAGACTATAGACTAGACTATAGACTAGACTATAGACTAGACTATAGACTAGACTATAGACTAGACTATAGACTAGACTATAGACTAGACTATAGACTAGACTATAGACTAGACTATAGACTAGACTATAGACTAGACTATAGACTAGACTATAGACTAGACTATAGACTAGACTATAGACTAGACTATAGACTAGACTATAGACTAGACTATAGACTAGACTATAGACTAGACTATAGACTAGACTATAGACTAGACTATAGACTAGACTATAGACTAGACTATAGACTAGACTATAGACTAGACTATAGACTAGACTATAGACTAGACTATAGACTAGACTATAGACTAGACTATAGACTAGACTATAGACTAGACTATAGACTAGACTATAGACTAGACTATAGACTAGACTATAGACTAGACTATAGACTAGACTATAGACTAGACTATAGACTGTAGACTAGACGATAGACTAGCCTATAGACTAGACGATAGACTAGACTATAGACTAGACTATAGACTAGACTATAGACTAGACTATAGACTAGACTATAGACTAGATCTATAGACAGACTATAGACTAGACTATAGACTAGCTATAGACTAGACTATAGACTAGACTAGACTATAGACTAGACTATAGACTAGACTATAGACTAGACTATAGACTAGACTATAGACTAGACTATAGACTAGACTATAGACTAGACTATAGACTAGACTATAGACTGACTATAGACTAGACTATAGACTAGACTAGACTATAGACTAGACTATAGACTAGACTAAGACTAGACTATAGACTAGACTATAGACTAGACTATAGACTAGACTATAGACTAGACTATAGACTAGACTATAGACTAGACTATAGACTAGACTATAGACTAGACTATAGACTAGACTATAGACTAGACGTAAGACTATATATCCGGCTTTCTTGTATGAAGCAAAGATTTTTATATAAGTTTTCTGTTTTCTCTAACCTATGTAATTTCTGAAAATCATTTTATTGTTGTCCAGTTGTTATAATACTAATAACAACAAGATATAAAGTAATAAAAGTTGAAAGGTATTTTATCAACTATATAATCTTATCAAATCCTATATAAACTTATCTAATCTAATCCGTAAATCTAAAAAGATAATAAAAATACATATGTAAATCGAACAGAAAAAAAATCTCATAATTTCCAATATTTTAACAGAATTTTATAAAGAATCTTAAAAATTCCAATATTAAGAAAACATAACTAAGAAACCAATGTAATACAAAAACAATGAAACAACTACCGGAATGATAATTAAAAATTAAAACTTATTTCCGAACTAATTTTGACTGACCTCTACAAACTCAATGAATCATTAGTGACGTCATGTTCAAATAATTAAAAATTTCGTCGGAATGAAGAAAAGAAATCAAACAAATCAGCATGATTGTTTAACTAACAATTTAAGAAATTTCCAGATAATATTTTTTAAAATGACACGGCACTATTATGAAAAATTTAATATAAACAAACTAAAATAGAAATACTAGACAATTACAAAACACAAACAATTAATTGCAAAAATAAAAGTCAACAGAAAACAAATGCATTTGCAACCTTTAAGAGTAGAAAACACAGGTGAATAGAAAGAAGTAAATTATACAGAATGCAATTATAAAAAACTATTTAATAACACAACATCAACAACGTACCATCATCATTATTAATATCATTCTCTTGTTCTTCCGACTCAACTTGTTCCTCATTTTCGATTTCATTATTAATTTCTGACTCTTCATCACTCATGGTACGTTTTAAACGTATGTCAAGATAATCAGATTGATAAACGGAACGACGTTTATCTTTTGAATTTTTAGCTTCAGATGCAGGTAAAAATACAAAATAATTCATAGGAATTGCAAGTAGTAAAAGAAAAAATACAAATAACTCTTACTTGTTAGAACGTTAAAAGGAAACTATTTCGATTTATGAAGTTATTATCCTTGGATATGACTTTTCAACTGCTTAATGAAGTAAGTTTCTAACACAATTTGTAAGAAAATCAAATATATATAAATCAAATATATAAACATTAGTGTTAATCTGATATTTTATAAAAACACCCACCTCTTAATAGAAAAAAAAAACAATTGTAGTAGAAAAATCGATTCAAGTTGTTTTAGTTTTTTAACGCCTTTACTTGTATTTACTTTATTTACATTATCAGAGATTGTTTATGCAATTGAGGAGATAGTTTTTTTCTTTTTAATTTTTGATTGGAGCACAATACACTTTCTTGTGTAAGATTTTTTTAAATTTTATTTTTCTCTTATTAACACGCTGTTTAGTTTATAATGTTCGTTTATGTCTGTCATTTACCGAAATATTCAATTGTAATTGTACTTTGTATGAAAGTTTTGACATTGCAGTGCGTCCATAGCAACGGGTTTTAACAATAGTTAAACAACATAAATTATAAATTAAAAAGTAATATTGCGAGAGTCCTCTCATTAGCGTTATATTATTTATTCATTTTAAAAATAAAATTATTTTAGTATATATTTTATTTACATACAGCTGGCTAAATAGCAGGTTCAATGAGAAAATGTACAAATTGTATGGGAAATAATTCTAAAAATATTCTAACAACGATAGATTTGTTAGCTAAACTCTTAAGTAATAAGACATGCTTGTGAATTGTTATGCAAGTTATGAAAAGGCAGGTCCAAGTGGATCTTCAACATATCGAAGTTGCAGCTTCAAGGAAAATGAGAACTTAAGGCAAAGTGCTCCAGAATTTATTATGCAAAAAGTGGAGGGAAAGTAGATTGTTTTGATCAAAATCTATGTGTAGTAGAACCTTTGAACGTAGTTGAATCAATCAATCAAAGAAAGCAAACAGAAATTATAGACCGACTTCCCAGTTAGAATACATTTAGGAAGTATTGTTACCACAGAGCCTACAGAATGTTTTGGTTAGCTAGATAGATCTGGGGAATCTGGTAAAGCCGAAATAGGGGTCTAAAACAAGATAAGGTTTCCTTCATTCCAAAATTTACCAACGCCGATCACCGAGGACGGAGGGGGGAGGCAGGGGGGGGGGGGGGCGAACGAAGGAACGAACGAACGAACGAACGAACGAAGAAACGAACGAACGAACGAACGAAAACGAACGAACGAACGAACGAACGAACGAACGAACGAACGAACGAACGAAAGAAAGAACGAACGAACGAACGAACGAACGAACGAACGAACGAACGAACGAACGAACGAACGAACGAAGAACGAACGAAGAACGAACGAACGAACGAACGAACGAACGAACGAACGAACGAACGAACGAACGAACGAACGAACGAAACGAACGAACGAACGAACGAAACAAAGAACGAACGAACGAACGAAACGAACGAAACGAACGAAAACGAACGAACGAAAACGAACGAAGAACGAACGAACGAACGAACGAACGAACGAACGAACGAACGAACGAACGAACGAACGAACGAACGAACGAACGAACGAACGAACGAACGAACGAACGAACGAACGAACGAACGAACGAACGAACGAACGAACGAATAACGAAACGAACGAAAACGAAAACGAACGAACGAAAACGAACGAACGAACGAAAAAAACGAAACGAACGAAAAAACGAACGAACGAACGAACGAACGAACGAACGAACGAAAAAACGAACGAACGAACGAACGAACGAACGAACAAGAACTAAACGAACGAACGAACGAACAACTAACGAAAACGAACGAACTAACGAACGAACGAACTAACGAAAACTAATAACGAATAACTAAGAACTAACAACTAACTAACTAACTAACTAACTAACTAACTAACTAACTAACTAACTAACTAACTAACTAACTAACTAAAACTAACTAACTAACTAACTAACTAGCTAGCTATCTAATTTTTCTCCACATCCGCCTGTCCGACTTGCTGTTCATGCTGAATTAAATAATAATCGGGATAGAGCCTCAATTGACCTCACCTTCCACACTAAGCCTAATGAC